GGACCTGGTGTTGGGAACTGGGGGGGACAGGACAAGGGGGAATGGGTAGAAATTATAGAGGGGAAGTTTAGGTGAGATATTGTGAAGGAATTGTTCTTGGCAGGGTGGGCAGGCCCTGGCACAGCTGGGGCTGCCCCTGGATCCCTGGCAGTGCCCAAGGCCAGGCTGGATGGGTTTTGGAGCATCCTGGGGCAGTGGAAGGTGTCCCTGCCATGGCTGGAGTGGCACTGGGTGGGATTTATATCCTTTCCAACCCTTCAACATTCTGTGATTCTGTGCTGGGAACAGGGCAGTGACAAAAGGATTTGTTGTTGTGTGGGTCTGCAGGGCTCTCCTGCTCCAGCACAGGGGTCACAGCTGCTTTCACAGGCTCCAAGAAGCCAGACAGGGACTGCACAGCTGCTCCGTGCTGGTGGGCTGCTCTGGAATTTATTTTTTCCCCCCCCAACAAATATCTTCTTTGATATTTCCCTGGTGAAAGGACATGGCTTGGGCAATACCTTGCAGGAGGCAGCATCTGTCTGCGAGGATGTAGGTGTTTGTGGGAGTGCTAGCTCAGTCTGAAATGCTGTTTTAGGGGCAGAGCACAGGGATCTCTGTGTCTCACCCAGGATAGGAAAAGTTCTCTGTGTCTCACTCAGGGGCTGGAGCAGTGGAAGCTGAGTGAGCTGAGTTGGAGCCTGTAACAGGCTGTACAAGGTCAACTCGTGTGGTTAAACCTCTGTCATTCAGTTCACACGCTGGAGATATTTTAATTTCAAAATCAGACCTAAGTGTCTGTGAAGTGTGCTCTCTCCAAAAATTATTTGTTAATTAGTTTTCAAAACAGAGGAGGAAAAATTTAAATACTGCGGGTTAAGATTTAATAGGAGAGATAAATACACACAACATACACATCTATAAATACATCTATATCTATACTTCTATATCTATATATCTGTATACCCTGCCAGGACAACAAGGACAGAATCTATCTAATTTGTGGCAGTATAGAATTCCTTATATATACTGTGGGTCAAAAACATTGTTAGAAAATCTTACTAATACAGGGAGAAATCACAACCAGCAAAACAGATGTAATGAGAGTTTCCAGCATGATTTCTTTTTTCATATAGACACAGTGAAAAATTGTTGTTATTTGAAATACACTCACTGTTGGTGCTTAGTTTCAGATTCTGACTCAGAAGAGAGGCATTGTTGTGTGAATGTCTCCTTTCAGTGCATAACCTCTGAAAATTACTGCCTTAGGTATGATAATTCTCATATGTAATGGAGTGAAGTAATGCAAAGATTACTTAGCAGATATATGTTGCTTAATGCAAAATTAAAATTCACTGCCTCTCTGCAATAATGTGACTTTCAGTTCTGGAATCTTCTGTGAAAAAATGTGTTGTATCATTTTTTAATATCTGTTATTTTCTGATGTGAAGCACATCTTCCTGTAAGCATAAGAATCTAGAAGAAATACTGAGAAACTTCTCAGTTATTTCTGAAATATTTTGTATCTTTTGATTAAGATGACTTCTTTCTTCATCCCTAGAAGACAAACAGTGGGCAGGGTGAGAGTTCAGGGGAAAATGGCATTTCTGTCATAAGCTTCTAATTCTTGTTTTTATTTCTTAAGTTCAAAATACAGACCTGGTGGATAAGTGATGACTGATTTTGGATTAAGGGAACACAGTTTTCTAAATGCTTCTGTGTTCATCTTCCTGCACCTTTAAAAAATCCAAAAATTCGAAAAAATAAAATCCCAGCAAACAATGAAACAGATATTGAAGGGCAGCAGTGTATCAGTCACAGTCAGTCTGTTGTCCCCTGGGACCTCTTCCAGGTCTGCTCCCTCTCTGAATAAATGAAGTGTTTAGTGCTTCAGTGTTTTACATAATGTTTTCTTGAATGATCTGAAAGGGGAAGTAGAAAGCACATTAGTTACATCTGCAGATGATGCAGAGCCAGAGAGCTACAGCAGCTGTAAGGATGGCGAGAAATTTAAATTCATCTGGGGAGCAGCAAAGTGCAGGAATTTACAAAGCTAAGGGGAAAAAAAAAAATCTAAAATTCACCGTTACAAATTTACAAAATCACCTCGGAAACGTGATCCAAACCAAAGACGTGTTGCTTGTCAAATTAGCTTAGTGAGGTGTTAATGATGTTTTCTTTCACTCCTGCAGTAAGCAAGAGCTGTTTACCTTGATATCCCACCCGGGTAACTGTTTGTTGTGGTATCCTGGTCTTTAACCACCTCCACTGCATCTCTCTGGAGCTGTTTGCATTTTCCCTACTGTGGATTTGGAGATGAAGGACAAATAACTGAGCTGTTCCTTGCTGTGGCTGCAAGGAAAAATCTTAGCAGTGTGTGGGGAAAACTAACATCTCCTTCTCAGCAATACACTTTTTCCCCCACCACACTTAATTTTAATATAATTATATCTGCGATTTACACGCCTGCCCCAAATTCAGAATCCTTGGATGTAAAATTGTGTTATTTTCTCATCTTCTCCTCTGCCAGTCTGCTTTCCAGTTCGGGATGCCAGCAGGACTCCAGAGCAGAACTGCCCCGAGATTTCTATTTCCTTTGGGTTGTTTTTCCCTGCTTTGGGAATTCGGTGGGCCTTTTTGGCTTATCAGCCTCTCAGCACCGGGCTGCTGGCGGGGCAAACACCACTCAGCTGTAATTTGCCCAGATAGCAGCGCTGCTATTGTTAGTGCTGACGTCTTTGTGTTAAATAGCTGGTGTAAAAAAGGAACAGGGATGGGGATTTTGGTGCACTTTGTGTGGATTTGTGCTGTGTGAGGCAGGCCGAGAGCAGCCAGGCAGTCCGGGATCATGGAATTGCTGGGTGCTTTGGGATGGGAGGCGCCTTAAAGCATCTCATTCCACTGCTTGGGACACCTTCCACCATTCCAGGCTGTCACGTTAGTTTTGCTTTAATTAGGGCTGTATCCAAACATTCTGTGTTTTCCTGGAGGCAGCTGGATAATGTGCTCCCCACGGCTATCCTAAATTAAGATTAGATGGCTGCGGGAGAAAGGGAGATAAAGAAGAGCACTTGTTTTGCAGAAAACCTTACTATTTTTTTACCTTTTTTAGCTGATTTGCCAGCACCTTCATGATAAATTTAGCCCTCCTGGTGATGGGTTTGCTCTGCTCACCTTTGTGAGCCTCCTAGAAATGGTCCACAGTTCTCAGTATCCAAGACAGAGGCAGGACAGTGAATTTTATTGTGAGAAAGTAGGTAATAGTCAGTTGCTTCACATAAAGCCTGACCTAAAGGCTAAATTAAAGATTTGAAAGTCACTTAAAGTCAAATTAAAGTCAGTGTTTGACTTCAGTACCTGCAAAGATGGACCCATATTCTGTGTCCCTGTAACAGTGCTGGGATTTTTATTTTTTTTTATAATTACAATTGCATTTGGAGTGTCTGGCATGATTTTGGTTGTGCAGTGGCACCAGGCTTTCAGAATAATTCTACTTCAACCTGTTTCAGGATTATGAATTTTTTATTGTTTTTGTGCAGTGAAAAGTGTAATTTGTTTCTCCTGATTAAACATATTTGCCTATACCTGGCCTCAGTTGAATACATTAAGGCAGAAGACAGAAATGATGTGCTCTCCTTGCTATTTCCTTCACGGTAAAAGGTTGTGATGCCATTTATCTGTGCTACTGTGCCTCTCTATCTCTGTGAATTCTTTATCCAAATAGCATGGTGGTGGCTTGCAAGTGATGAAAAACAGTTTCCTTTACACAAACGTCCATCTTTGTTACTGCTGTCAGACAGCAAGTGTGATATTCAGGGGGTGCACGCCAATCTGTGGGCTGCTGATAGTGTAATCTAATTTCCAAAAATAAATTAAAAGCATCTTTTCATCTGTAGCCATCAGATGTACGCCTGCTAAAGACAACAACACTTCAGAGGCAGCACATGTGAATTTGGTGGCTAATTGGAAGTTAAACCTTCGGGTTTTCCACATTTTCTGATAGACTGACCTTGCTGAAGGAGGTCAGGGTGGTATCATGTGTTGGGGCAGAGACTTCCACAGATAAAAGGTCCACGTGGAAGGACTGTCCTTGTTTCAAACAATGTCTTTGATAGCTTTGTGAGCAGCTCTCACCCAGCCTTTTTCAGCCAAAACTTATGCATGGCGTTAGTGAAACTTGCATCTGAAAAAGGTAACAAGCAATAGGTGTTTTTTTAATAGATGTCTCTATGTAATTTTCCATGACCTCCCAAGTAAAGTGGGGAAAAATAAATCAAACCACATTTCTGGTTTTAACAGGTGAGGTGCCACAACACAGAGTGAACTTCTCCCTAGTGTGTACCAGTTACATTTATGCCTTTTTAAAGATGTTATAGCTGTGTATTCAAGTTGGAAAGATGGGTAATACTTCCCTCCATAGGGAAGTGCCACAAAATTTATGTCAGGCTTTTTGATAATCACAAGATGAGAGAGATGACCCCTTCTCCTTCTTCCACTCCCTCAAACTATTGTGTTAGTAATGTGTCTTCACCCAGGCTTGCATGGTCATAGCTCAGCAGGCACTGGTTTGCAGTATGGCTGAGCTATCCCTCCTTTAACATGACATAAAAAACAGTTTTCTGTAGTTTATCCCAGACCAGGCAAAACAAATGTGTTCAGACCTCCTGTGTGTCCTGTACAGCATCCCCATTGCTGATGAAGCACACTGGTTCATTACAGATCCTTTAACCTCACTGGCTTGATGAGGCTGCCTGTTCAATTGGAGGAGTCCTTTCATGATTAGGAACTTGCTGTCTGAACCCTGGAGGTGACAACTTGCTGGCTAGATTTTCCATATTAGCTGCAGAAATCACAGAATCCCAGAATATTTGGGGTAGGATTGTTATTGTTATCTCCCTTTAAACTGGAGGAGTGTGAGGCATTTCTTATGCTTATTAAAGACGTATTCAAGTTTAGTGGGGCAAAGCCTCAGTGGAGTTTCTTGTGCAGTTGAAATAATTCACTCTTTCCTTGTGTCTCAGTTCAGACTTGGATCTCTGAAGCTGCAGGAAGTCCCAAACCCAGCAGAGGTGATCAAAGAACTCATTGGTTACTGCCTGGACAGCCTGGGAAAGCTGCAGGCCAAAACTGAGCATCTGCAGAGGGAAAATGAAAGGCTTTTCAGCAACTGGAGCGACGTGGAGAGGAGGTGAGTTCCCAGGTGGATTCACAGGTGACACCTGAGAAGGTCAGCAGCAGTGGACAGAAATTTTTATTCATTTGAGATATGTTTTGAGCTCAGTTAACCACAGCCCATGTGGTTGTAGATCTCCTCTCTTTGACAAAAATGCAACTGACACTAAAAATTTGCAACTAACGGTGGTTTTAGCTTATAAGTTAGAAAAAAACCCCAAACATGTCAAAATCTGTGGAAATAGTTTCACTTTCTTTAGGAAGCCTTCTCATTAATATTATTTCCTATGATTCTTAGGACTGGCAGTGTAAATTATTTACATTTTTGTGTGGGGAATACATTGCTGTTTCTTTCATCTGTTTCCTTTGTTGAGGAAGCCAGAATTGAAAAATGAGTGCAGTATTATAGGCATAAAAGTACCATAATTTTTCAATAGATTTTTGTAATTGCTGTTGCATTTACAATCTGAATTGTCTGTCATTCTGTAGTGAAATCATCTATGCTTGTTTCAATAAGCATAGAACTCTTAGCACAGAGCAGTCAGAGATTTATCTTGCTTTTCTGTAGCTTTACCTGAAAAAACACAATCTAGGAAGATTGATGAAAGAATGCAGCTAATTTGTGTTAATTTACCTTGAAAAAGAGAGCCAGCTTTTGGGAGGAGTTAGTTTTGTTTCCCTCTCATTAAAATGAGTAACAGTTTCTCCTGACAGTCTCCCTGACAAGCAAAGGGCCTCCCTAAGTAGTGTTTTACTGCTTAACAGTGTAATTGAACAATAGTGTATTGTATAACCCGTGTTCTGTACTGCATTACACGCTGATGTGTAAGAGGCATTAGTGCTTGTATCAATTTCCATGGTGGGGTGGCACTTTTACAGAGCAACCCCAAAGAAAAGGAGGAAAAAGGGAAAAAAAAAAAAATCAGAGTTGCGTGACTTTGTTCTCAGTGCAAGCTGGTGGATTTCTTTAGCATGTTAATAGTTTTGGGTAGATGAGAAATGGTTTTTTTTTAGAATATACACTGAATGTTCTGTAGTCACCAGTCTTTGGCCATGTCTGTTAAATGCAGAATAAAACTAATTCAGAAATCATTTCCATTCAAGAAGTATTGGGCTTTTTGGTTTGATTTTTTGGGGGATTGTGGGGATTTCTGTTTTGTTTTGTTTGAGGGTTTTTTGTTTTGGTTTTGGTTTTTGGTTTTGTTTTTTTTTTGTTTGTTTGTTTGTTTTTTGGTTTGGTGTGGTGTTTTCTTTTTAAATTCTTGTTGCCACAGCCCAGTTCTACCCTGCTGCCTCCCCTTGCTGTTTCAGCTCCAAACGCTGCGAGTTGCCCCGAGTTGAACAAAGCTGTGGCTGTCTTTGTTCAGGAGGCAGGAATTCAGGATTTGCATCCTGCACCACTCAGGGTGCTGAGTGGTGGAACATCAGATACGGAGCACGTGGTGTGCAGAACTGCAGCCAGGGCATGCCAGCCCTGCAGCTCCCTCTGCTCACAGCCTCTCTCCTCAGGACTCCCTTGGAATTCAAACATAGCAGGCAGCCTTCTGAGAGCTGCTTTTGTGCCCCTGACTTGTGGGGCACTGGGTGGAATTATTCAGTAATCCCATTTCCATCTCCCTGTTTGAATTCTGTTGACCACACGGAGGTTTTGGTGAGCAAGTGGCTGCCTGGGGTTGAGTGTGTCTGTGATCATCTCAGGGGTGGATGAGTTAAAATATGTAAAATATAATGAAATAAAAGCAGAATAGCTTTTATTTCATATAGAAAATTCAAGGCCAGTTAATTCCTGGCCAGGTTGGACACTGGGGCTTGGAGCAGCCTGGGACAGTGGAAGTTGTCCCTGCCCATAGCAGGGTTGGCACTGGATGGGCTTTAAGGCCCCTCCACTCCAAACCACTCTGTGATTCCATGAAAATGGAGGTGGCAAATTTTAAGTAATAATAACCTGTAGCAAAATAATTCCTTGAACAATAAAAATCCAATTTCTGGTTTGGGCGTGGGGGATGTCTTTTGTTTTTGGGTGTCCAGAATTTGTGTAGACAAGGCAAATTCAAAATAGCTGCCAATTTATGTTGTGGTCATCTGCAGTGACAGTGTATTTAAACCACAAGCAGATTATAAAAATGCAAGCTAGGTACTTTGGGCTTGAATCTGAGTCTTCAGGATTAGCTCATCAGCATTCCATACCATTGCCAGTGCTGGGGGAAGGGTGAATCTGAAATGCAAGGGAGCAGTGCCATGAGATCCAGGAATCATTTTGGAGCACTGGGAACAGGGATGAGTACCAGAGATGCTGAATTATTTCCTCCGTAGTGTTGGATTGTGAAGGTTGCCACTAATAATTAAAGAAAAACAATTAATTTCACGGCTCATGTTCATCTCTGTAGAGCATGAGTGATTGCTCTGTGTTGGGTCAGCACTTGAAATCTTGTTTTTTATAAGGTGCTGGAGTGAAACCCAGCACTCAGTGAGTCCAGAAGGGTCCACAGAGCCACCCCCACCTGCCCAATTAATGCATCTCTGCCCCCAAGACCACTGCCTTTCACCAGTCTGCTAAACTATCAAATATGCCATATATTAGAATATTTTAAAGCCTCATAACTTTCAAGTACAGCATTAATGTGATGCTTCTGTGATGCTCAGTGTTTTGCCAAATTAATGCCATTCTGTGTCTGTATTTGGATGTGGATAGCTTTGAATGATGGGGGAAAAATAAATCAAAAAAAGGTGTTCATGTAAATGAAAGCAATCATATAAGATTAACTGATGGCATGCTACTAATTGGTTCTGCCCAGAGGGAAAAGTTAATATTCTCATTCTGATGTTCAAGATGCTAATTTTTTTTTTTCTCCAGGGACTAAAGAAATTGGCTAGTCTTGCAGTTGGTTTCTCCACTGTGCTACTCACAGCCCAGGCAGCAGCAGCCTCACTTCACTGGAAGTGTCCATTTATGTGGGTTTTCAGCAGGGGGTGTCTCAGCAGCACTCAGGGGCTTCACTGAAGTTATCTTAAATGGCACTTTGTTGGCCAAGTCAGCCACATTTTTCAATATTTGAACCAGCCTCAACTGCTCCAACACAAACCCAGTGCCTTGTCAAAGCAAAGGCAGAACCACTTTTCCTGGTTTGTGTGTGGGAGAGGGGATTATTCTACAGGATTTGATACAGGCAAGATTAGCATATTTTAGACAAAATCCTTTCCCCCCCACATCTTTACGTATATAGAAATAATTAGTATCAAGCATGTCCAGGCTCTTCTGGGCCCTGCATTAGGGTTTATGGTTCTTTATGAATTGCCTATTTATTCCCCACTAAACAGTTAACTTCCCTTTTGTAGGTGGAAAGTCTCCTGGTAGTTGATTAGTACCTATGATCTTTCATTTAGGAATTATTGAACTGATCTGTATGGTAATGATGTTCTACTATTTGCATTTAAATTAGATGAATTATTTATCAACTATCAAGCATATCCCTAAAGCATTGAACAGTAGGCTTAATGCTTCATGGGATTTCACACATTTCACCACAACATAAAAATTGTGAGATTTCTTTTTTTGCTATTGTCTTGCTTCCTACATCATATATGGTTTTGATCTGTGAACAAAATAATTAGTTTTTATGTAGGAAGTCTGTTGAAATCTCTTGCCTTATAAATTAATATTTTTAAAGTCTGTTACATGTCTGGGTTTAATAGCATAATAAGCCTTCTAAACTTTTTACAGCCTTGCACAGGCTGGTGAAAAATATGTTTTTAACTTATGGCTACTATACTTACCATGATCAGCAAGATTATCAGGATGTTTATTTGCTTCTTGTGTATACAGCTAATAAAATGTTTGTGGTTCAACCCAAGGACTGAAAGGTTATGAAATATAAGAATTAAATACAGAATTACATTTGCCACAAATCACTTGGTTTGTTGTGCTCAGGTTTGCTTGTGTTCCAGTTTTGCTTATGAGACTTCATACAGCCATATTCTTAATTTAATACTCCCATTGTGCTTCTTTTTATTGGCATTCATCTACCCACATGGATGGATACTAAATTCTTTTTAAAACCTGATGATATTTAAAACCCTGAAGATATATTTTCCTTTGAAGATATTAAGAGCATCTAAGCATTTTTATATTTTGGAATTTTCTTGTCCTATTCAAATATATTTCACACCAATGTGTGGTCACATTTGAAACCTGTCAATGTGAATCATACCTGTTTATAATCTCATGATGTGTATCCTCCTAAGGTATGCCCCCTGTTGTGATTAGCATTGAAAATAAAGAACATTTGGATTGTTTAAATTTTAGTTGTCTTAGGTGGAGGTGTGCAAGAACCTAAAAAAAAAAAAAAAAAAAGAAGAGCATGAAGAGAAAGGCTCACATCTGGAACTTTTCCCTTTTGGAAGCAGAGTTCATTGCATTTCTCTGTGGAAAAACAACAAAAAAAGGCTTATCCTGGCCTGTTTCAGACACGAGGTGCTGGACCAGCCGTGCGTGGTTTGGAGTGGGGATTCCTGGCTGGCCTCTGGACAGGAATGTCTTCTAGGGAACAGAATGATTGCTGTAACAGTTAATTTTGTGCTGCAGGCTGGAAAAATGCGTGGAAGCTAAAGAGGAGCTGGAGGCAGACCTTTACAGCAGGTTTGTGCTGGTGCTGAATGAAAAGAAGGCAAAGATAAGAAACTTGCAGAAGCTGTTGAGCGAAGCTAAAGAGTCTGCAGCGGATGCCAAGTGTGCAAGGTATTTAATTTCCCTGGGTTTCTTGGTGTGGTGCACATTTGGGTTTGGCTTAGTTCACTTTCCATTTCCTTGGCCCTGACAGTGAGTGACAGTTCTTCCTGGCTGAGTGCTGGGTTATCCAAACCAATCCTGGAAGTCACGGGAAGAGGAGGATTCTTTCTGGCAGCCCTGCAGGCAGCAGCATATTGCTGTGGGTGCTGTGGCCAGGAAGTGAGTGTTTGATGGATCTGTCCTGCTTTCTGCTGGGCTGCAATGGATTTTCCAATCAGATCATGTCCCTGCCCTTTCCATATTTCATACATATTCTCCCTGAATGATTTGATTCCTTTGAGAAACAAAAATACCTTAATTTCTTTCCCTTTCTTTTGATGTTTTTAGGGATAGTACAGCTGCTGCTCAGGTGGTTGTAAAGAGAGAAAACAACTATGATGCCAGCACTGATGAGGAAAGTGAAAATCCAGCACGGGCCTCGTTGCCATCAGGTAAGACAGAAAGCATTGTCTTTGTGTTATATCACAGGCAGGCTTTGTGTGAATAAACCTTAAGGAAGGCAAAAGACTACCTGACAGATTGCTCTGTGACAAGCCAGCCAGCAAGCCTTAAAAATACCTCTCCTGGAGCAGAGTACAATACTGGCATTTTCAAATTAGAGAGGGGAGGTTTAAAAGCATGTTGCAGGAGTGAAGGCACTGTCATTTCTTGCAAAGTGACAAATTACACACTTTGCAGAGCTAATGACAGTCTAACAGTATCTGAACCATCAACAATTCCGTTTTAAATTCTAGGAATCATGATGTGCATGCCGTGATTGATAAAGTGTAAAAGGTAGCTCCTGACAGTTTCAATAGTGTTTAAAAAGGGGAAAGAGAAGAGGTTTAACAGCTATAAAAAGAGCTGTGTGCATAAATGGAATGAAAGTGTATTTATAGCAGAATCCACTTTAATTTGTCAAAGAATTTTTGGCCTTGTGAAGATGCTCATGAAACTTAATCTGATGAATTTTTCCAGGACTAGAGCCTTGTAAAAAGTGTGTGGGATGCAGTGATGGCCCATTATACAGTACAAAATATTTAACTGTGAATCAGAATTTTGGCATGTTTGTGGTAAACTAGTAGGAATACCCAGGGCAAATGCTATCAAAGTTTCAAAGCTGCATTTCAAAACTGTAATGTGGTTTATATATATATATATGTATAGATATATACACACATATGTGTATAAAAATAGATACATAATCTTCCCTTCAAGTCTTCAAAGGTTCTCTCACTGGAGCTTTTTATTTCCACCACAGGTAAAGGTAATCCAGACAACAATGTGTTCCTGTAAAACAGCAATTTTCTGTGCACATTGGGAACTGGAAGTGATCAGGACCCTGGTGCCCCTGGCAAACACCTATGTCACTCATGTGGGACTGTTTGCTGAGGAATTTCTGGCTTTATATGAAGTAGGCAGAGCTTCAGAAAAGTGGAGGGAATTGTGATCAGAGAAGGAAATAATTTGATGCTGCACTGTGTTCTCCAGAAGTCTTTGCTGTCAGGTGGTAATTGATCAGTTCAGGTAACATGATGAGAAATTTGTATTGTGAAAAGGCAAGGAAAAGGTGTGGAAGGTGTGAAGCTTTCTTCTAAATTCAGTGGGGCCTGACGAGCTCAGTGAGAGTTTTGAGACAGAGATTTGTATTTAATAATGAAAACAAAACCCACTGCCCTGCTCAGGCAATCATGAGGGACTGGACTGGAAAATATACCAGCTATGTTTTCATTTTAGGTGCAAACAAAAAAATGGACTTTCTTTTGTCTTTGAGGGTTTTGGTACTGACAGGAAGTGGTCAGATGCAAAATTTCCAGATAACATGAAGATTATAAAGTTAATGCTCTGGGTAACACACTCTAGTTTTTCAAGGCAAAGGCACCTGAGCCCTCACAGTGAATATCCCTGAGGTCAGTTGGTGCTCATCCTGTGTGCACAGCTTTTTCTCTCAGAGAACAATGGGAAAGCACAGCTGGGTGCTGAATATCTAAGGTCTGTCCCAGAATTTTCACTCTCAAAAAGAGGCAGACCATGTCTTTCTGGAGAAAATAGTGATTCAGGGGTGAGTGGAATGAGTGGATAATGAAGCTCAAAGCTACATGAAGCATCAAGGACTGTAAGGCATAAAAGATAAGACAGATAATATTCGGGGGTTTTTTTTCTGTTTATCTTAGTTTTCCTATATTCTAATCTATCATTGCATTTCTTTCCCTTTTGGACTTGAAATGTCATGGCAGGAGCCAATGAGAATTAGGAGATCATTGAGGTAGTTTTAGTAGATATTGGTGAAATCCACAAACTAGAGATAAGATCATAATTGAAAAACTTCTTTGAAGAAAAGTGAAGGCAGGTGTGTTTATGCACACATAGATGCACAGTGGAAGTGCATTTGTATATGTTCATGTCTAAGTAATTCACTATTAATTGAAAAAGCAGCAGTGCTCTGCAGGTGATTGGGTTTGTGCTGAGAGAGAAAACTTGGGGTGGTTCCATCACAAGATAATTCTGTTCTGGCAGCTCATAGGGATGTTACACAGAAGCTGTGAAATCCAGAAAAAATAATTTTCAAAATCATCATCATTTGCAAAATCAGAAAGAAAAAAAAAAATATCAGGATTTGTTGAACTGCAGTTTAAAACTCTGTCTGAAGGTTTTTCTTCGTCACCAAAAATTGTTCTTCTCCCTGAATTTTTGGGGCACTCAAATGTCAGGATGTTTCAGTGGATATGGAAGAAAAATCTGCTGATGTTTATTAAAAGAAAATTGAATTACTTATTTAGTTTTCAGTCTGGTGTTGATCTGACACAAATATTGTAACAACACCCAATAAAGAAAAATATTAAGAAAATGAGTAAGAACGATTAATTTCAGTCTTTGTAAAGGGGCAGAATCTGGAGCCTAAAAGTTTATCTAAACTTTCTTTTTTCTTTTTTCTTTTTTTTTTCACATTTCCAGTACTATTTGTAGGTTTGATTTATGGTTTCTCACAGCAATTTCTGCTTCATAGTTTAAAGCAAAGATCAACTGAAACATGGTAGTTTTTGTTTTGCCTACACACTGGTGTAGTTAATGCTTTATGTTGTAAAGGGAGAAATTAAAATTGAACTAGTAAGTCTTTTAAAGCACTCAGAAAAAACAGCTGGTGAGAATTACACCCCGTAGAAATAGTACAATGTTTATAAATAATGATACATTTGTAAATAATACTGTGTGTGATTCTACACAGGAGCTTTGCCATGCCATGGGCACGGGGGGAATTTATTTGAAATCTTGTTTAGGGCTGTGAATGTGAGGTTGAGAAAGGCACAGAGCTCCTGCTCTCACTGCAATTTAATAAATTCTGAAGCAGCAGCCACAGATGATGTGTCAGGTCCTTGAAATGCCTGTGAGCTCCTGCTGGAGAGAGGAAGGAGGGGATGAAGGCAATCCTGCTGCTGCTCCTCATGGATGGAGTGTCAGGAATGTTTCTTGGGAGATGGACAGGGTTGGTTTTGCTTTGGCTTGCTGAGGTTTTGCTCCAGGGTTGGTGAGATTCTGAGAGTTGCCAAATTCAAATGTAGTTATTGTTTTCTCTACCTGTTCTTCAAAAAAGTTCCCCCGTCTGGATCAGAGCTGGAAAAATCTCAGAACTGGAGTGGGGTAAGGCTGTGGTTCCCTTCGTGTGCTGGTGCCAGCTGGACACAATTGTTCTTTAAGGGGAAAAAACCAAACCACAAACCCCAGAAATTGCCAACCTGTGTTTCTCTTAGCCCACAGGAGTGAGTGGGTGACTCAGCATGATGCCACCACACTAATGCAAGATTTTTCTGTCATTTTAGGATACAGAAACTCTTATTCTGTTAAGGACAACTCAGCTGTTACAGATCCCTCTTTCTTCCCCTATGCACTGAATTTTTCTGGTTTTGTTTACTGAGCCCTTCCTCCTCGGGATCCTGAAATGACAATATCAGACTGATAAACCATAATTTGATATAATGGCTGGGAATAATGGCTTTGTCCTGCAAATCAACTCCTTTCATTAACTGGAAAATGTTTTAGTGGTCCATGTGTCAGGAGGCTTCTAAAACAAGAGCAAGGATGGGATAAATGTTCCTCTTCTCTGCTGCCTTCCCCGGAGCTTGAAAGGTGGATGGAGGGTAACAGTTTACTCTTCACAGTGCCTGGAAAGTGACCAGAAAAGAGAATATGATTCCTCCTCCCAGGTGTATGACAAAACTGCAGGGAAAGATTTAATTATTGCAATCTATTGTAGATACAAAGGATAACATAACAGGTGGGACATAGGCAATGCAAGAAATTGTTTTATGATTTATTGTTGTTATTTTCATTTAAAAATGCTATAATATGTGTCTGCCTCTGGACAGAACAAGGCTGCTGTGCACCCATTTACAGTCAGCTTGCATCCTCTTTTATTTTCTCTTCTCCCTGAGTTCTTCAGTCATATTTCACATTGTAATTGGTAGAAGTTACCTCTCCTTAGGGCAAGGAGGGATGTCATGATCTGCCCTGTTGGATCAAATAAAATTTTATGATCTGTGTTTGTTGCCGAGGTGTGTGGAAATATTCCATATTTCCCCAGACATTCAGTGCCCACACTTTTCTGCATGTTTGATGACGAGGACAGGTTCAGAATTGGTTGTACTAAATTCTCTGCAGAGCTCACAGTAAATAAGAGCAAGCACCTTGCCATCTCCCACTGCCTCACCATGCAAATGTTCTCACCCCCTCCATTCCAGCTCCTGCCTTTGGGATTGTGTGTTGTGCCCTCAGGACTTTGTGGCACTTTAAATTTAATTAGCTCTCCTGTGTAGTCCAATCCACTGATGGCTTGGTGCTGCTGGTTAATAAGCTTTGATCAAAGTTAATAATAATTTTAAAAAGCCTGTTGTAACAGCACCCGGCTGTGCTGTGCAGTTAAAGTTCCATCTGTGAAGGCTTCTCTTGAAAAGTCTGTTTTTAAGGAGTTTTAGTACTTAGCCATCTTAATTTACCTCGGGTTTAAATTATTTCTCTTTTTGTCAGGCTGTAATTGAAAGTGGTTCATCCTAGAGGAATAATCTCATTTCCCTTTCCCTTAAAGCTGTAGATACCTTTTCTTTTCTTCTCCCTGACACTTGATACTGATTTTTCCCCCCACAACCTGATACGGTTTTATGCCTCTGAAATACTTGTGGTGGCCAAACTGGTTTCCCTCTGTGTTACACCAGGTGTCATGGTCAAAATATATTTACAGTACAGGTATCAAGGTGTTCCATGTCCCTTTAAAAATCCTGTTATGAATATTGCACTTAGAAGGATTTACAACATGTTACCCTGACATTTTTCTACGAAAATTATAAAAAATGCTTATATGTCTGCATGCAGCTGATGCAGCTGAATGTGGTTTCCCCAAAATGAGTCATTCAATGAAATTTTACAATTGACAGAGTCAGATTTATGCTTTGCTAAGACT